CATGGAAACTGGATAGAAGGTTTTCAGTGGAAAGGCTACACAGCTACAGCAGAGGAAGCTGAACAGCAAGCCATATATCTTGCATTATCATGGATAAGAGATAAAGGATGGATCAGATGCCAGATTGAGTCTGACTGTAAATTTGTTGTTGCAGGATATAAATGAATGCAATATTTGCTTCCTAACCCCAAGATTAAATGCATGCAGGCAGCTACTACAGGAACTAAATGAGGTGAAGCTGTATTATGGAGAAAGGGGCAAGAACTCTGTGGCTGACTTATTATCAAAGGATGCTAGAGGAACTCTAAATGTTTTGAATCAATTATGTATTATATCAGTTCCTCCGAATATATGTATTAAAGCTTTAGATGATGACATTGCAAACATTGGTACTGAATGTATCCCTCACTCTGCAATCTTGGGCTCTCCAATAGGAAGCCAAAACTCTTTTAGTTTAACTTAATGAAGGCCCCTTTCCCATTAAAAAAAATAAGGAAAATGGAGCATGTATTTAAAAACGACTAGAAATGGAGCATGTATTTAAAAACGGTCAGAAATAAAAAGTGTAGCAAGTATTGAAAAGTTGATAGAGTAACTTATAAGAACTAGTTTTGCAGTTTTGTGTATAATTATATTTTTGTACTAGGTGAAACCCCGTGCAATGCACGGATATTGACTAATCATAATGAAAATATAATTAGATATTAAAAAAACTAAATCGATTGATCAGTATTAAACCGTACGAAATACAGTTTGTATTAAAAATGAAATATAGTTCATATTAAAACAATAAAAACATGAGAGAGAAAGTATTTAAATATGTGACAGTTATAATGTGCAAGTCGATATTTTAGAAGGGGAGTACTAAATGCAAGACAATTTTACTTAAATGCAGAATAATGTTTTTTTTTAAAAAAAATTATATTCCAATTTTGTCCTTGTTTTAACTTAATCCTTTACACTTTTTTTTAAATGATTAAAATTAAATCCTGTACACTCTTAACTATATAATCTTCCCAACTGTTTAATTTACAACCATATTCTAACGTATTCAATCTTGTATCCTATTTAATACGGAGTATTCAATACTATACAATTTCCTAGACAATAATGAAGTGCACTACGACATTTTTTTGAGGTATGAAAATTATGTGCTGTAACAGATGAACAATCAAACAACATAAAATTTCCATCTTATACGGATAAGATTTTTGAAGGTCTCTAGCATCCCCCTTATACAATTTTCGGGGGTCTCAAGTAACTCCGGCTATGATTTCCAGGGGTCTCCAATACCCCCCGACTAAGATTTTCGGGGGTCTTCAGTACCCCCTGGCTAAGATTTTCGGGGGTCTCTAGTACCCCCGAAAAACAAAGTTGGGGTACTTATAATGAAAATTTTTAACAATTCATCAAAAAAATTAAACGAAAAAAAAAACCTAAGACCGAATGATTTATGAGCGGTGAACGACTTCTTCGTCTCCAGGGCTCAGATTGAAGAATTTTAAGGGAAATGGTGGAATGAAATGAATTGCCAAAAAAAAAAATGGTGACTGAAATTGTGAACGAAATGAAAAAAATTGGCAAATATAATGAATTGCAAAATAAAAAATGTAAAAACAAAAGGCCTGGTGAAATGGAAAATCAATTTTTTCATTTTGGAAAAGGGTATTTCAGTCATTTTATTATTTTCATATCATTAATTAATTTCTGCATTTAGATTATTTTGTACTGCATTTAGTACTTGCATTTTAGAAAGTTTACTTTAGATTTTATATAAAATAAAAGTCATAATCTAAATGCAATCCTTTTTTTAATGTAATAATATTTTTTTTAGAAAGTAATTTTGGCGGGAATTTTTTTTAATAACACATTGACAAGTCTTCTCTTCGATTCGCTTTTAGTAGTATGTAACTAGGTTATGTCTCGTGCCATGCACGGTAATTTTTAATACTTAATATTTATCATTAGTTTAACACTATTATTTAATTATAAAAAATTATGTCTAATTGTAAAATAGGATGAAAGTTCTGTAATTACAAAAAAAAAAATTAAAAAAAATTATCACATTAAAGAAAACAGAGAGAATAATATATGCACGACTAATAAAAATAACTAAGAATTAGATTACAAAGTTATAGATGGCAAACTATTATTGCATATTATAGTATATTAAAATAATATCTTTGTTTGAATGTGTACTAATAGAATATACTTATCAAATAAGAAATGAAATATTATTGCATAGTTTGTATTAAAAACTTCTCCAAGAAGCTTTGGCCAAAATAATAAAAAAATTAAAAAAAAAAACTTTTGGAGGGAAAATTTTTAACCAGGAGATGACATGTGTCATTCCTGGTTTCACTTTTAGTATAAAGTTATAGATTATTTAATTATAAAAAATTATACCTAATTGTAAAATAGGATGAAAGTTATGTTATTAAAAAAAATTAAAAATTTATCACACTAAAGAAAACAGAGAGAATAATATATGCACGACTTATAAAAATAACTATGAATTACATTACAAATTTATAGATAGCAAACTATTATTGCATATTATTGTATAAAAAATAATATCTTTGTTTGAATGTGTACAAATAGAATATACTTATCAAATAGAAAATGAAATATTATTGCATACGAAGTAGTTTGTATTAAAAACTTCTCCAAGAAGGTTTGGCCTAAAAAATAAAAAAAATAAAAAACTTTTGGAGTGAAAAATTTTAACCAGGAGATGACTTGTGTCATTCCTGGTTTCACCTTTAGTATAAAGTTATAGATTGATATGTAAATTGTGAAAATTAGTTGTTGGACTTTTAAAATTTATAGCCTATTTGATCTCTCTAGTTCTTCAAGTTGTTAAAATGAATTAATTGTCAACATGGGAAAAAAAAAAGTTCCATATATATCAATTTGTCTTTATAAATTGGAAAATTACACAAGAATAATCAAACCTTTCGCTGGTTCTCCTAAAATAATCCAACCTTTAGATTAACCTTGAATAATCCTAAGTTTACCTATTATTCTCTCCTAGCAAACCTATTTTACCTACAACCGGCTGAATAAGTCAACATTAGATTTTTTTTTATTTTTTTTTTTCCTTTTTTTTCCTCCTATTCTTTCCTCCTTAGTTCCAAGACCTGACATAGTGACATCAATGGAGGATGGATACCCATAATCCTTTAAACACTACCACCACCCAACAACCTCCCCCAGCCACTCCCTAACCCTCCTTGGTTTGCCGCCAGCCTGCCACTCCCACCACCGGCCACCAATGACACACCACTCCCTTTCCCCGCCTCCATCACAACCTCCGCCACCACTTACCCCACCACAACCAAACCCAGACTCGAAACCTTTCCTCCACTCCTACCCATACTCGAACCACCAACCTTGTCCCACCCAAAACCTGAAACCCCAACCCAAAACCATTAAACCCTGTCCCACCCAAAACCCGAAACCCCAACCCAAAACCATTAAACCCAGTCCCACCCAAAACCAGAAACCCCAACCCCACCTACCCAAAAACCAAAACCCCAACCTGCACCATTGTCTTTCTCTTCTCCCTTTTTCTCAATTTAATTTGGGGCTAAATTGGGTTGCGGTCGTACGATGTTGATGTTGTGGGTCATTGTTGATATTGAGGGCGTCGGTTGCGATTAAATTGTTGGTTGGTACTTGAATTGGTAGTGGATGGATGTTGTGTTGAGTGGTGGTGTTGAGGTGGTTGTAGGTGGTGGTACCGTAGTCCGTAGATGGTGGTGAGTGTGTTTAGGTGGTGATTATGGAGGAAGGGAGAGGAGAGAGAAACGGGCAAGAGGGGAATGGAGAAAGTTTTTTTTTTAATTTTTATTTTCAATTAAAAATATTTTTTTAAGTAAAAAAAAAAGATTGACCAATTAAGAAGTGCCACGTGGATGGTAACCGGTTATAAAGGGTAAGGTGACCTGCTAGGGTTGCTGGGAGAGAATAATAGGTAAACTTAGGATTATTCAAGGTTAATCGAAAGGTTGGATTATTTTGGGAGAATGAGTGAAAGGTTGGATTATTGGTGTGAAATTTAATTAATTTTGTCATTATAGTAGTATTTAAACAATATTATTAAAGTGTCGGATATTAAAAATCCAAACTATCCCATCATTTTCGAATCTGGATCAGATATTGAGTATCTGAAAATTTCGGATCAGATTAAATACTCTCTCCATTTTTTTATTTACATCACTTTCCTTTTATAAGTGAATTTTTTTAAATGCATCACTTTTCTATTTAATAACTTTATACCGGAGTATAATTTATCATTTCTCCACTCAAATTATTTTTTATTTCTCTCTCTTCTATGGTCCCCACTTAAATAATAAAAAAATATATTTTCCCTCACATACTTTTTCTTAATTTCATGCTTCCATGACTTATTTTTACTATAATAATTTATTCACTCACCACAATATCATATTACTCTCCTAAAACCTTGTGTATCCCCAAGTGATGCAAATTAAACAAAAAAAAAGGGGGGAATACTACATATATTTCAAAAAACTACATATAGAGCTGTCAAAAATTGACCCGACCTGAACCGGAAATGATCTGAACCCAACCTATACCTGAACAATGGGGTGAAACTAGTGACTTGTAACCCGACCTGAATCTGACCTGATGTTAACCGACAACCGATTTGATCCAATACGTTATGACATGCACCCAACCTGATAGTAACCGTCAACCGGTTTAATTCGACCCGACAACAAGCCGAACCCGAACTAGTACCCAACTCAATTAGAACCTAAATACGGTTACAACACAACTCACCTGTTATTGACCCGAGTCATGGAAGGTTAAAAAAAATTATATACCGTTTGTTTGGCTAATATACCGGAACAATTCTGAAACCCTCAATCGGGTTCATCTTATATACCTTTTGTTCTCTATTATTCGTATATAGGTTTAATAAAATCTTGATAACGCTTGATTAAATTATAGAAGGCGTAATTATATAGGTTCAACATGACCGTATCGATATTTATTCGAATTGAAGTTGAACCAAAACCCGACTCAACATTAACCCGAACTCAAATGGACCATCTATTAACCCACCCAAAACCGACTCATCTATCACAACCCGAACCTGAAATTGAACTCGATTTGAATTTGACTCGAATCAAACCCGACCCATGTACGAAAAGGGGACCGACTCGGAACTGAAATTGGCCCGACCTGAACTAAGACTTGATTTGACCCGACCGGAAACCCGACTTGAATACTCAATTGAGAGCTCTTACATACTTACTTCGTATTATATCATCACCTTTTTCTTTCTAAGGTAAAAATCATCACCTTCTCTCAAAAAAAAAAAAGGTAAAAATCATCACCTTCTTTCTAAGGTAATTCGCTCCATCTATGTCCAAAACCCATCTCCAACTTTTCTTTAATTTCATTTGGTTTTCTCCATTTTTTATATTTAATCAATAAATTTATGAATTAAGTTGTTAAGAAATTTATTTTTTGGGGTTTGAGTGGGCAATTTTGAGTTGAAATCATGAAATAAATGAATAATACTACTGGTAACAAATTTGCATGTATATTGCTGAAATTTACCCATTCATCTATAATTCAAAAGCACTTGAGAGAATGGATTTTAAGGATTTGGAGTTTGTTGATGATATTAGGAAATCGTACTCAATTTATGGTGAGATTTTAGTGATGAAATTGCTACAGATTTTCCACAATAATAATTGAACCTTGTGACTTTGTGAGTACACTTATCCATTCATTCATTCATTCATTCACACCAATAATTCATAAACTCATTTTTTCCCTTCTTCCTACCCTTAAACCCCCAAACTAAGAATAACCCGTCATTTCATTCACAATCACTTGTTTTTACAAAAATCATATTTTTTTTTTTTTGAAAACAAACACAAAATTGGAAAATAGTAGCTGATCTGATCAAGGATGGCCATAGCCGAGACGTTTCTGTCTGCATTTCTGCAGGTGCTGTTTGAGCAGCTGTTGACAACCGGAGGAACACAATTCTTGAAGTTGATTGGTGGTGTTGATTTGCCGAAAACTATCAAGAAATGGAAGATACAACTTACTAGGCTGGAAGCTCTTTTGGATGATGCTGAGCTGCAGCAATTTCACAGTAAACCTGTCAAGTTATGGCTCAATGACCTCCAAGATTTAGCTTACGACATCGAAGATATCTTGGATCATTTCGCAATTGAAGCCCAACGTTACCAGTTGAAACAGGCGGAGGAAGATCAAGCTAATGCACTTGATGATCACTCAATCGCTGGAATTTTAAACAATATGGTTTGTACTGCTAAAATCTTACTTACTGACTTCTTAATGTCGTTATTTATTGACATAATGCTAGTTAGATGACAATGATTATTATTTATTACTTATTGTCATTGTTGTTGTTATTAGTCTTGCTACTCCGTATTGCTTCGTATTTTACTTACTAACTGATAAAACAAGTTCAACTAACTGTGGGATAAATAGACATGACAAACCTAACAATTGGAAAACAATCAATGTTTATAATTACTTAGCACAATTAGAAAATGACCCAATCTGAACAACTTGATTGGATAATATCCTCTTGTACAATTCTATTTATATAAGATTTAGTGTTCTGTTCATTAAAAAGAATAAAGAAAATTTGTGTCTTGTACAATTCTTGGGGAGCGCTGCTAGGCAAAGGCATAAGTCTTCTTGTACAATTGTTTATATATTAGATTAGTGTCTTGTTTATTAAAACCTAAAAACAATAAAGAAAGGTAGTGTCTTGTACCATTCTTGGAGAGAGCGGCTAGGCGAAGGTGTAAATCTTCTTGTACAATTTTATATCTATTAGATTAGTGTCTTGTTTTAATAATAATAATAATAATAAGTTGAGGTAAAATTTAGTTTTAAAATAACTATTGATATGCTAATTACCGAATTCATTGATTAGGCGCAAACCATTCGTGCAAGTAGTTCAAGAGCTGCAAATAGTCTCTCCACCTTGCTCAAACCTATTGATCAAGACATTCAAGACAAGATTGATGACATTACAGAGCGCTTGCAAGATATACAGGACCAGACACATAGTTTGACCCTCACTGCAGCACACATGTTGCAGCAGCAGATCCTCCAAACAGAATCTCTTCGAAGCCAGAGAGAATCCACTTCTTTGGTAGGCAACGTTTTTGGAAGGGATGAGAAGAAAAAAGAGATAATTACACTGCTACTGAAACATGATCAGAGTGGTGAAGGTTATGTTGTGATTCCTATTGTTGGAACGGGTGGCATTGGGAAGACGACCCTTGCTCAGTATGTATACAACGATGAACAGAAGTATGTATACAGAGATGAGCAACTCTATGTATACAGCGATGAGCAGCAGAAGTGTAATTTTGATCTCAAGGCATGGGTGTGTGTCTCGGATGTGTTCGATGTTAAATGTGTCACGATAGATATAATTAACTCAGCCTCCCAGAGCAATTTTGACTGTAGCAATTTGGATCAGGCACATGTGAAACTGCAGAAAGTGCTAAAAGGCAAAAAATTCTTTATTGTTCTTGATGATATTTGGAGCGAAGAATATGATGATTGGTACAAGCTGCAGGAACCTTTCCGACACGGTGCAAAAGGAAGCAGAGTGGTAATGACAACCAGAATTGAGAGTATTGCAATGATGATGGTTAATAATCCAACTCAACGCAATATCATCAAGTTAGAAAGTTTGTCAAACGATGATTGTTGGCTTATATTTCAGCAACATGCAAATGTAGATTCTGACCTCGCTGAGATGCGGGATAATATCATAGAAAAGATCAATGGACTACCTTTGGCGGCAAAAGCTCTAGGAGGTCTCCTTAAAAGTATTCCAGACAAGAGCCAACACCAAAAGATATTAGAGAGCAATGTTTGGGGTGAGAAGAGCAGTGTTTTACCAGTTTTAAGGCTGAGTTACCATCATATGCCATCTCATTTGAAGCGAGTCTTTGCTTACTGTTCAATATTTCCAAAAGACTACAAGTTCAAGGAGATGAAAATTGTCTTACTATGGATGGCTCAGGGCTTCATACAGGAAACCCAAATTGAAACAATGGAAGACATGGGCCAGAAGTACTTCAATGATCTGGTATCAAGGTCACTATTTGAAAAAAGTCCTTATGGTGAAGGAGAGTTCATCATGCATGACCTCATCCATGATATGGCTCAATTGGCTGCATGTGGTATCTGTTATGTAATGGATGTTGTAGATACACAGAGAAATCTTGGAAGAACTCGCCATTTATTTATCACTGAGCATGTTCAAACATTGAGAAATCAAATCATGGTTCCTCAGTTGCGAACTTTTCTATGCAGCTACTGTTTGATCATTGACAATTTGGAATTCATCCAAAGAATGCAATACGTACGCTCCCTATACCTAGTGTCAGAGAAAATTGAAGTTTTGCCAGATTGTATTGGTGATTTAAAACACTTGCGTTACCTAAGTCTCAAATTCAAAAGAATGAAAGTGTTGCCACAATCAATCAACAATCTTTGGAATCTCCAAACACTGTGCTTGGAAGGCTGTTATAAAGCTGTGAAGATTCCATGTATAGAATCGCTGGGAAAACTCCGTCATCTGAACATTGATGATATCTCTTTAAAGGAGATGCCGCTTGGAATCGGGAAATTAACAAACTTACAAACTTTGAATACATTTGTTTTGGCAGTTGGAGGTGGGTCCAGAGTAAGGGAGTTGGGGAAGTTGAATCAGCTCCATGGAAGATTATTAATCGTTTCCGGGCTAGAAAATGTGACTGAGGTTGAGGATGCAGAAGAAGCCCAATTTTGTAAAAAAAAGAATCTAGATGGGTTGAATTTGAAATGGGGTACTTGTACTAATGATGTTGATGACAAGACTAGGAGAGATGTGGTTGGGAAGTTGCGGCCTCACACTTCCATCAAAGAGTGTGAGTTGGTTGGGTACATGGGCTCGAGATTCCCAAGTTGGTTGGGGGATCCCTCTTTCATTAACATGGTGGACATAAAGTTGAAAAAGTGTCTCAAATGTGTATGCTTGCCTCCATTGGGGAAACTACGCTCGTTGAAGAGTCTGCTAGTTGAAGATATGGATGGTATTCAGGAGGTAGGTCTTGAATTTTATGGGAATTGGTCAACTCCTTTTTCATCTTTGAAGACTCTTCAATTTTCTCATATGAAATCCTGGGAGAAGTGGGTGCACCCAACTGACAACAACAACGCATTTCCTATCCTTGAAGAGCTTTCTATTAAAGATTGTTCGTCATTGCAAGGCGATATACCTCCTTATTTGCCTTCTCTTAGAACGCTGGATATTAAAGAATACATGCAACTACAATCCTTAGAATTGAAGATTTTGTCTTCCTCAACTTCTCGTCTTGATACAATTGACTCAAGGTCTAGGGTAAGGGAGTTGGGGAAGTTGAAAAATCTTTGTGGAACTTACATCGTTGATGTTGATGACAAGACTAAGAGAGATGTGGTTGAGAAGTTGCAGCCTTACACTTCCATCAAAGAGTTTAGGTTAGATGGGTACATTGGCTCGGCATTTCCAAGTTGGTTGGGAGATCCTTCTTTCAATAACATGGCTCATATAAGGCTGAATAATTGTGTGAAATGTGAATGGTTGCCCCCACTAGGGCAGCTACCCTCATTGAAGAGTCTAAGGATTGAACATATAAATGGTATTAAGGAGGTAGGTCTTGAATTTTATGGGCATTGCTCAACTCCATTTCCATCTTTGAAAACTCTACTTATATCTGGTTTGGAAGTATGGGAGAAGTGGATGCACCCACTAGTTGGTATCAACAAGGCATTCCCTGTCCTTGAAGAGCTTTCCATTGATTATTGTCTAATATTGAAAGGTAATCTACCTCCTCATTTGCCTTCTCTTAGAACGCTGGATATCAATGCATGTAGAAAACTGCAATCCTTGGAATTGAAGAATTCATCTTCCTCAGCTTCTCGTCTTGCATCACTCTCTGTTGAATACTGTGAGTCTATGGTCTCTATTGATCATATTCCCTTAACTCTACAACTGTTGTATATCAATTGTTGTGAAAAACTAGGGTCTGTGGAATTTGATGAACAACCTACAAATTTGTCTCCTAGAAGTGAAGACGGGAATACCCCAAAGAGTGAAGAAAACATAGGAGTTTTCCTAAAGGCTTCATTGGAACTTCCTCTTCTCACTAGTTTGAAAATAGAAAGTTGCCCAAGTCTAAGATCATTACAACAAAATCTACTTCTCCCGGCCTTACAAACACTTGAGTTATGGGATTGCAAGTCTATGGAAAGGCTTCCTGGTCAATTGCTCAATTTCACCTCCCTCGAACGATTATATATTCTTGAATGCCCCAAAATCCATAGCTTAGCGGAAGGTGGCTTACCCAGAAACTTGGTATTCCTTGAAATAGAAGAAGTGAATATAAAGCAGGCAGTAACAGAGTGGAAATTGCACCTCCTTCATTCACTTAAAGCTCTTACGCTTAAAAATGTAGGCAGCTCTGCAGACTCAGTAGATTGTATTCTGTGCCCACATCTTTCTCTGCCCTCTTCCTTGTGTCTCTTAGAAATCAGGGGTTTCCAATATTTGAGAATCATATCCAATGGGAACACCCTTCCGAACCTCACTCGTCTTGATGTTGTGGATTGCCCAAGGCTTGAATCATTGGTTAGCAATTTTACCTCGCTTACAGATTTAATAACTGAAAATTGCCCAAAATTCCACAACTTTCCAGAGGAAGGTTTACCCACAAACCTGCGGTCTCTTTCAATCTCTGATACCAACACAGACAAACCAATAAAAGAGTGGGGATTGCACCGTCTTACTTCCCTTCATTCTATTTTTCTTACACTTGTAAATGTAAGCAGCTCCTTAGATTGCATTAGCGATTCTGACCTTCCCTCTTCCCTGCGTACATTACATATAAAAGGATTCCAAAATCTGAAAACAATATGTTGTTCCACTCTTCCTGAATTGTCCTCTATCAGTGTCCTCTCTTGCCCCCGATTCGAATCATTTGGTGACCATGGCCTTCCTCCAAGCATTGAAAGCATTTATATTAAAGAGTGTGAGATGATACAACAACATTTGAGAAGTGATCCCGGTGGCCGTATACTTACAGAGAATGGAAGATTCTCGTTGCCTCTGTCTGAAACTCAACCGAGCTCTGCCCACTCAAGTAAGTTTACTTAAATAATGTTATACATACATCTTATATGTTTACATCAGCTTAAATTTTAATTCTTCAAAAACAAAAAAGTTATAATTGATACAAACAATACTAACAATCAATGGAACTTCACTCAAGCAAAAAAACAGCAAGTGATTTTGACGAATTTGACCATTTAAACTAGTTCTATATGCCTTTTTTATTATTTTTTTTGGCATCCTCAAACAGATGATTAGTATAGCATTCTAGAAAGGTGCAGGAACATTTACATTATAATGATGCAAATAATAGTGGTGGTAGGGAGAACTTGATCAATCAACTAGCTGTACTTATTTACATATCTTTCACAACATACTACAGTTTAACTTTAGATCAGGTTTATATTTCATGTCATTGTGGAAAGTAATAGATATTGTAGTCACATACCTTTTACAAAGTATTATTGATACAAATTTACTTTTTTAGATGTTTTTCAGATGAGTTATAAAATAATAGGGAAATACAAAGTATTATTTTTTATGTTGGAACATATTATAGAATAAATATGCTGTTCTGATATATTGTAATAACATCAGGTACATGACTTTCCCATGCAGCTGTTTGCTCATGTTTAGGTGCTAAGAAACTCAAGAAACTGAGAAGCCTAACAGTAGTAATAGCATCTACAATTATAAGGTATTGGAAAAGCTTGCCTTGGTTTCAATTTTAATTTAAGATGTATTTTCAATTGCTGCTGATGGTGATCTGAAAAACTGTTACCTGATGACATTTGACTCTTAGCATATGTTTACTGTTTAGCCTTTTGGGTTAGTTTTTTGGAAGTCTCATCATTTATTCATGTCTAAAGTTCTATTGTTGAACTAATTCCTGTGTTTTTCTTTTTTTTTTTTTTTTTTTTTTTTTTTTTTTTTTTTTTTGTTGAGAAAACTAATTCCTGTGCTCTTTCAATTCCACACTCTATTGCTGAACTGGATTTTGGCATTTTTCACTTTTGATTCAGGGAAAATAAAAGGGGTGCAACTAGTATGGAGGAAGTATATTTTGACTCAGGTAGCATGTTCTTCGATTTAATCAGTCAGAAAAATTAAGATTTGTTATTAACAACTAGGTTTACTTCTTTTGGCACATATTATTCCAGAATTATCTCTAATGATGATAGCTCGTTGTTGTATTATTGTCCTGGTTGATCAATCTAAAGTAGTATGTTCTGAAGTTAATTTCAAGTCACTCATAGCCTATTACTATTACTCTCCTTTCATTGCTCTGTTGATAAAACTTTCTATGGAGTACTGCTTTTATTTCCCACCTTAAGTAATTTCTCCTCTACTACTGGTGTTTTTGACCTCCTAAAAACTTGTGAGTGGTTGAACGCCTACTGAAATTTTAGTGTTCATTCATGTACCAAACTTAGTAGTACATCCCTAAAACATGCTTGTTATTTCACTTAGTTATTATCATGCATGTTTTTTTAAAGCTAACTCGGATCTTATATGAAGTATATGAATATGAATCATAGTTTTTCACTTTATTAGCGTCATCTTAATTCTTAATTAGGTAAATTCTTTCTCATCTGTTTATCAAAAACTTCTGAGAGTTTGTATGTTCACTTGTTTATTATATGTCATGTTTTACCATGTGTTGATAGAATGATTAGTTGGTGATCTAGCACTTTATTTTATTGCACGTTTGGACTAAAAACATTGGCATATAATCTTTTGCCTAATAAACATTGCACATACCTTCTTATATCAGGTGACAATCATATTGGTTCTACCCTTCTCGTGCTGCAGAAAGCCTCTCCAAGTTCAGACATTCATTCAAGGACTACTGTCATTACGGCTTTGCAAGATAATCAGATCCCTGGCAAAATGTTCTGGTTACGCTGCAGACGTACCCCAAGTAGAAGATTGTCAAAGCTTTATTACATTAAGCAACAGCGTAGCCAAGATACACTGCTAATTCTAGTCTTCTTTTGTGTAAATTATGGTCTGTTTTTAGTACCCTAATAACCTGTATTATTCTAGTGAGTTTTCTGTTAAAATTGTGGCCTTTTTAGTACCCTAATAACCTATATTATTATAGTGAGTTTTTGTATATTTTGTTACTTGAGTAATTCCGTTAAGTTGGGGTTTCAAACTTTCAATACAGAATCTAGTTTTTCAGATTCATTAGTGAATCTACATCTATTTGATTTCTGAGATTCATGTACAAATTCAGTTTCTTCTATCATTTTACATAGGGAATTATATTTGACAGGAATTGTTTATGAAATGTTGTGTTATGAAATTGCCTTTCTTCTTAGTTACTCCTTACAATACTAGTTGAAACACTTTTATTTGTAGGATTGTTCATATGTAGTTGACATGCTTCTATCTTTTTATTTTTTATTTTTTTTCTAAGATTACAACGATTCTATATTGCAGAGTACTTTCTTTCACATGTTTTGGGTCTCATTTTTCCTCAATTGAAAAAAATCAACACATGTAATGGTCATCAAAACCCACTATACTACACTAAAAAGAGTACTCATTATCAAATTTCACATTATAAAATATTAAAGTCGATTATTGTGCATAAAACTTTGTCTCAGACGACAGCCAATTAAATCTCGTCAACTAATTTATGAGAGAATAAATTGTGAGCATTGTTAGGAATAAGAGAATAAATCAAATATAACTTCAAATTTTAAAACCTTCCAAATTGAAATCATTCTAAAACGATTCAGTAGTCCAATATACATACTACCAGTACAAATTTACGACTTTTACAAATGATCATGTCTCTTGTCTAGAATAAGGTTTCTCACGAGTATATAGTTAAATTCCTAATTTGGTCAATTTGCATATTCATCGTTATTTCTTATTTTCCCTAACATCATCCCTTGAACGCACACGTGAAATCAATTCCAACATAGTACAAATACTTAAATAACCGCCAATTGAATACTCCTAGTCAATTCTCAAGTGTGAAGATGTACTACTTTCCCTAGAGTTTTAACAAAAGTAGCTAAGTGCTACTCTCCCGGCTTTTTCCTAACCCTCTAGATTCCATTCTCCCTTACGTTACCAAAGTATCCGTACTCCTTCCGTCCCCAAATAAATGTTTCATTTGCGTTTAATGCCACTTAATCTCACATTTTTAAAAAAATCCAACTAACCTCTTCCCACCCGACGACTACATGATCTTCCTCACTAATTTTAAAACAAATAACAGTCAAACTCCATTAATTATAATCAATCTACCCTAAAAAATCTTCAAAACAAAACTCCATTAAAGCAACTCAAATACCTCCATTGAAGAAGAAGAAACAACCCTTTTGAAGAGGACAACAAAAAATGGAATTAGAAGTTAAACGAAGAACAACAAAATCCCTAATTTCAAAGCTAAGTTCAGTATCAGATCAAACCCGAATCGCAGCACTTTGTGAGCTCCGATTACTCACCAAAAACGACCCAGAAATCCGACCCATTATCGCCGAAGAAGACGAAGGTGCAGCAATCTCTCTTCTAGCTGAAACCCTTTACTCTCCTACACCATTAGAGCAAGAAAACGCTGCTGCAACTTTGCTGAATATCTCAATTTCCTGTAAAAATTCCATCATGTCAACTCGTGGGGTTCTCGATTCTCTCTCCTATGTTCTCTCTAGTCACCGCACGCACCCTCCTGCCGCCGTGCAATCCGCCGCCGCCGCGATTTACAGCCTTTCCGTTGAGGAGAATTATCGTTCTGTAATTGGGGGTAAAAGGGATGTTGTGTATTCTTTGATTGATATTGTAGGGTTTCGGGAATCGCCGTCTCGGTCAATCAAAGATGGGTTGAAAGCGCTTTTTGGGTTGTCTTTGTGTCCTTTGAATCGGCCTTTAATGGTGGAATTTGGGGCAATTGAATCAATTTTTGGGGTTGTGGTGAGAGATGGGAGGATTGGGGTGATTGAGGATGCAACTGCTGTGATTGCGCAGGTTGCTGGGTGTGTGGAGAGTGTTGAGGCCTTTCGAAAGGCGGCTGGTGTTCGGGTTTTGGTTGATTTGTTGAATCCTGAGACGGGTTCGAGTTCGAGGATTAAAGAGAATGCGGTTTCTGGGTTGTTGAATTTGGTGAAGATTGGTGGGGAGGAGGTTGGGGAGGAGATTAAGGAGGTGGGTTTAGGGTTGGTTTTTGATGGGTTAGGGGAAGTGGTTGATAGTGGGAGTGATAAAGGGAAGAAAAGAGCTCAAGCTTTGTTGAAGATTCTTGAGGATGGTATGAGTATGACTCACAAGGATGCCAATGATTCCGGTTCGGATTTGTATTCTGGTCCTTTGGTAGATACTTCGAATTCGTTTTCGTATTGATTGTGTTAGCATGATGTTTGGTGATTTATAGTGTGTCATAGTTAGGAAAAAAAATAGACTTTCCAAGGATGATTGACTGATAGAGTATGTGATGAATGTGTTCTTGTTTTGCTCAAGATTATGAGATTAGGGTGTATAAAAGATTTGCCTCATTGTAAATTCATTTATTCAATGTATCATGTTAAACTTGTCACTAATGCAAATTCAATGCCCGATTCTTGTTCTTTTCTCATATATTTGTTTTTTTTTTATCTGTTGGAAAAACATGTAGCAGTTTCTTTTCTGAGAATGACTTGCTGCATTGAGCTTTATAAGCGATTGTGCGAGCTATAACATTCTTCTTACATGATTACGTTTATATATGATTAACGGATTTTGTGGTTGCTGTAGGTTCTTCTATGAGCCAAAATTCATTTTGTATTACTGAAGAACTCTTGTATAGCTAATAAAATTTTGCTTGTTTGATCTTTTCTTTTGCTGCTGTGTTCCAGTTTGACTTTGTGTGTAGAAATTGTCTTATCTGCTTTGAAATTTTGCCGGAGCTTATCTTCATGAACAATGAAGCTTATTATGGGGAATTGTTAAATTCAATGTACAACAACCACCCGAAGAATCCCGCTGTGGTAGGAAGAAGGTCCAGAGGTACACAAACTTACTTCTATCTGGTTGATACAACTCGATTTACTTACAAGAAGATTGCATTTTAACTTATTTGTCTCTGTACAGAGATTTATCAGCACGTAGAGAACTCTAGTTAAATGTAGCTGTTAGGATTAGTGTGGAGATAGATAAATACATGGAGACATAAGGAGATTGCATAGAAGCTGCCTTATTGTTAAGGTTCGACCAAACTTGTGAAAAGTTCGGTCGAACCCGGTTTTAAGTCAGTAGGTGCACCAGTTTACATTTCTAGAGGAGGAGTGACCAAACCCAAGGAGGTTCGACCGAACCACCCCAGGTTCGACCGAACTCTGGGTAGGTTCGGCCGAACCTCCCTGCTCCCTATTTCGTCGCTTCGTTTTCGGCTTGTGCGATTTGCTTTAATCTTAGCCGTTGGATTGTATTTTCTACCTAGACTATATATACCTTTTCTAAGCCTCTTTGTTGATTATTCACAAACATTTAAACACATAGAGAGGTTTTGAGAGGGTTTGTGAGGAGCATTTGAATTCTATACAATTCATGCTTGTAATTCTTGAGTTCATTCATCATCAATATTACTCCATAGTGCAAGGGTGGGTTTTTTCTCCCGGTTCTCGGGTTTTCCCACGGTAACATTGTCTTCCTTTTACTTGCTTTAATTCCTTCAAAGTTGTTCTTGATTGTTATGCTTGTTTGTTCATTGCTATTGTGGGTTGATTGCAAGTTAGTTGAACACTTTAATCCTTACAGTAGCAATAGTATTTGCTCACATGCCTGTATGGTCAAAACAAAACTGCTTTGCTAACTTTCATATTACACTGTCTGGTAATGGAATGCCACTGCTGTCTCAAATACCTAACAACCAGGCTGTGAAGCCGCATATGGCTCAGGATTAATGCATACTGGATGGTCATTGATATGCAATGATGGTATTATCACAACATGCATGAACAACAGCAAAGCTCCGCCTTAGCCAGACTTATTACAACACAATTCACAATTGTAGCTTGACTATTTTTTCTGTTTTTTTTTTTTCCCTTCTCTTTTTTTATACTAAAGGCAGGTCTAAATTTGAAATTATTCTGTGTCATACTCTCATTTCAGGCTTGATCATGGTGTGAGTCAAAATCAGAACTTGGTTTCGTTCATAGTATCTTGTTTGATTAGTTATGGAGTATTTGGCACTTGCCACTTCATCAATCATCTGTTTTATCATATTCCTATATGAGCTATGAATCTAACTATGGAGCTATTTGGGATCTGCAAGGCTTCTTTTGGGGTTGATGATGTAGTCCATTGGGCAATATATGGCTTCTTTTCGTAATTGTACAATTATTTGAGATTTTGAGAGCTATATCATCTCCCCTTTCCTCTTTCAGTTGTTAGGAAGGAAGCATGGTTACTCTCAGCTTTGTGCTTAAGGTTTGGGAAGAGATCATACTTTCGTAGATGATTGTCAGACATAGAACTACTCTCCATTGCACAAGCTTATGGTCTTATCCAACACCAATACATAAGTAGGTGTTGGGCTTGTTGATTTTGGGGGCGAGAGGAGATTGACCTGAATTCAAGTGTCTAGGAGTCTGGAATCTGGATGCCAACTTCTTTGTTGACATACTAATATTAAACATGGATGCATTCGGTTGATAAACACTTCTGAGAAGATGAAGATAGGTGCATTTTATCCCTTCTGACAACTCATAACTTATAACAGCTTAGATCACAATTGTTGTGCACCTTGTAACAATAAGAGAATGCCTGCATCAACATTGTTGAGTATCTAATGTGTGTCATATAATCGTATGTGTCTCTCATTATTTTATAAAAATAATTTTATTAACCTGCCAATTTTATCAGAAAATCGGATTTTACATAAATTGTTTGATCTTGAAAGAATTATAGCAGATGTTTTTCCTGTTAAATTTAAAGGATCAAACCCAAAGTTTGCAAATGCTGTTTAGAAACTTGAAAGTTGGGAACTTGGGGTTGGTTGACCTTTATGTTCCATTCTTAATATGTAAATCGTTTTAGAGAATTTTGTGCGATTTTTATGTGACATGCCCTGGTTATTCGTGTTTTGCTCATGTCCAGCCCCAAAAATGATCTGGTTCAGCTCTGAGGAGAACTTGTGAACATTCCTTGCATATGCTAGTTGTATCGGCAGAGTAAATCATCAAATAAAGCTGCATTTTCCGTTTAAGTCTCATTAATGTAATTACTGTAACTGATACTTCGTATTATTCTTACATTTGACTTTTTTGTATCAGAGTCAGAATGTCAGATAAGAATAAACTCGGATAAGGTTTATGTCCTGGTGAATTCATTGCAATGGACTTATTCCTGATAGTAGTCATGATCAGTTGGCCGTCAAGCTACAGGTCAATGCCTGCCTATATGGTTACATGGTACTCATAGGTGATTGGCCCCCGTGTGCTTTGTTTTTCAGGTTTTACTGTTACATATTAGACTAGGCTCTCGGTAGTGGTTAGACTGCTTATGCCTGTCAATCCAGTTCTACTCCTGGTGCAGTAAAACTTTGATACTGATAGCTCTTATCTCGTGCTCTTACTGATTGTATAATATTAAAATCACTGTACTAGTTAATTGTTATACTCTCCCTTTTTTGGGAATTGTTGACTTTCAGAGTTTTTGAGTGTAGTAGTGTTTTGTAAATGTTTGCAGTTAAGGGGCTGTTGGAACCAAGAAATATTGCTTGAATTCAGTGTAGATTGCACCAAATTTGCTGCATCAGATACTGCCATCATCCTTTGTTGCAGCCTGTTTCAGGTATGCAACATTGCTCAAATTCTGTTTCTGGACTCTGGAGCAGAATTCTCATGGGGTTTCTTTTTCTTTACCTCTCTGACATTCTTTTGGTTAACAGCAACAAAAAAACACGGTTTATCAAACTACATAAGCACCTAGTTTGTCTTAATTCTAAAATATTATGATAACTGGTAATTTTACTATACTTAAATAAGTCATTTGCATTAGCGGTTTAGCACTCCTTGAATCCTAGATAATCTGCATATGCACTTGAAGCATTCTAGTCTAAAGTCTCCTATCTCTGTAATCAAAAGAAAATTCTATCTGGGTATTCGGTCATTCCATCTGCATTATATATAATATATCCTTGTAATTTCATTGTTATCTATCCCATTTTATTAACTAGTTCAATTATTATGATCAACTTAGCAAAACTAGCAATACATGTTGCATTTAGCAGTGTAGTTTGATTAGTATCTGTGAGGTCATTTAATGCAAAACTCGTATTTTGGTTTAATTTTTAATAATCAGGGTTTTATAAGGAGTGTAGGCTAGTTATCTTCATTGAAGTGGTGTAATCATCAAATTTACAAAGTTGACATGTCAATAATCACTGCTTTTAGGAGGGATTAAAGACTAACAGAGCACTACCTGTCTATTTTCCTTCCACCAATTAAAGAGTTTCTGACTTTTTCCCTTTTTCAACTACCTTTCAACCATCTTTTAAGATACCCTAACTCTTTTACTCTCCCTTTTTTCTTTTGCGGTTTCATGTAGATGACCATTTCTTGTTGTCTAGGGACTTTTTCAATCTTGGTGTTTGTATACCATCACAAACCACTGCTTCCTTTAGTCACTTGTTTTGATTCGTTTTGGCCGAAATTCGGGTCCATTTCCCTTGAATATCAGGAGAAGCCTAACCTTTTATAAATGTCCACATCTTGATTACAACCCTCTTCTAATTATAGTTCATTACTTTTAAATTCAGAATTGACTTAATGCAGAACTTTTTTTTTCCCCTTTCCTTTCCAGATAGAACAAGTATCTCTGGTGACTCCATTATCTATCCAGGAGCACAACTGGTAAATTCTCCCCTTACTAGTTAAAATGTTTTACCAACATAATAATCGCTTGTGCTTTGGAAACTCAATTATGTAAGTTTGATGTTTTGGTCGGAATTGCTTTAGTTTTATCTTAAGCACATTCATAACATATGGATAAAGCTTATTTGAAAATGTGTCTGGTGCATGATTCCCAGAGCTATATCTAGAGGTTAAAACACTCGTGGAAGGACGACTTGGCAAAACGAACTTGTACCCAATCATCCGAACTGTACCCAATTTATTTAATCTGAAAATGACCTGACCTGAAAATCAATGTGACTGATATTTATTGATTTATCATAGTAAGTTAATTGACTATGTCCCGTAATGAACAGACTTCTCTAGGATAATTACAGTGCTAGACACAAGGTTAAAGTACCCAGACCATCAATGTTAATGTTATCTTGTTATATTGACTCCGAGACCCTTCTGAATAGACCTAGAAGTGAGTCAAGTACCATGTAACAACTAGTCTCAGAGTGACCATGCTGTTTTAGGGGTCAATTCTATACCAAGCTAAGTAATAAGAGGCATTATCTTTGTATCAATGGTGATACATTTTTTTTTAAGATTCCCTTAGTCATAGTGTAATAAGGGTGAAAGAAAATAACTCATGAAATGGTCATGTACTGTGATACTTTTTGCAAAAAATAACCATTGTTGTACCTTGGCACAAATAGTTAGCTACTTGGCTAGAGCCTAGAAAAACCAA